CCACTCGGCTTCGGAAAGCTTCTCGGAGGGGCACAGCTTCTCTGCGGAGGTCTCGCACAGCCTCGAGTCTCCGGCGACGCCCGGGTGGGATGGAGGGAGCCTCCCCACCTCCTCTCCGCGATCGCCGGGCCAGAGGGATGAGTGGGAGCGCGGGAGGGCTCGCGAGCAGAGGACAACTCCGAGGAGCACGCCTCCGCCGGTCGCGTCCTCCTCCCACAGCTCCCAGGCCGTCTACTTCTTTCTGGGACTGCCAGAGCGTCCCAACCTACCAGTCCTCCAGGGAGGAAGACAAGAGGAGCACAAAAATGCCGCCCCCTTCCAGGCCCTGGAGGGCAGGAGTCTTTTTAACTGTTTCCTTCCTGAAATGAAGTTGGGGTGGGCCGAGTGGGGCGAGGGGAGAAGTTCACAGACCAGACTGGAGAAACTCGTCCCCTCGGTCACTCAGTGCGGGCAGGTCTGGGCTGTGCTGGAGCAGCGGAGGCAGCCAGCGCCCAAGGGTGGCTTCTCCTCTGCCTTTCCTTTGCTTGGCCTGGGCGCGCCCTCCCCAGCTCACGGGAAGTGAGGGAGCCCAAGGGGACAGTAGGTCTCCGGATCCAGTGAGAGTTGCTCGGGTGTTGTCTCCGGAAGCCAGGGCCCCAACACCTCTAGCCTGGGGCAAAGGAGGTAGCCCGGGAGAGTGCCTAGGAGGCCCTTAGGTGTGGCTCAGTGAATCCAGGCAGCCTGGACAAATTCAAACAAGGAGGATACAGACCCTGCAGAAAGTGGGGCTCGGCCGTCTTTATCTAGACTGGAACTGTATCCTTAATCCGCGTTGGTGGGTGGAAGAGGAGAAGGGAGCAAAAGGCCATTGTTTGTAAGGTGTGAGAAAAATGGCGGCGCTAGGGGGGCGAAAAGCCTGGCTTGCAGGGGAGTAATTTGGCAATGCAAGACCGAGACCTGGTCACATCACATCACAGACTGCTCTGGTTATCTCTTTCAGCTAATAAGTCATCTACCCTAAAGTAAAGTGGCTTAAAATATCAGCGGTCACTTTGCTGTAGGTCTGCAGTCTGGGCAGGTCTTGTCTGGGACAGAGCGTTTCTGTGCTGCGTAGTTAGGTGTATGGAGCCTGCACTTCCGAGACACTTCACAGGCTTAGTTTTTCTGTGTGCGTGGCTCTCCACAAAAGTAGTTTGGGCTTCACACAGTGTCCTTGGCTAAGTTCCAAAATGAATGTCCCAAGAGATAGGAAGTGGAGGTTGCCAGTTTCTTAGGGTCTGGACCCAGAAACGGTTACAAGGTCCTTCCAGGAGTGGAGCAGTCAGGAATCCCAGATTCAAGGTGAACTGTAGAGGCTCCACCTGTCAAAGATTTAGGGAGCATTTTGTAAAACCATTAAAGAGGGCCACAGACTATCACTACTGAAAGGGGGTTTCGTAGTCCTCTATCTCTGTTGGACTGGGAGTTTCCCCTCTATTCTACTTTTAGCTTCTCCTCTAAGGAGAGTTAACCAACTAGAATAACCTAAGTGACTCAGTTTACATTAAAAATGGGGAAACTCTGGGCACTTGGCTTGGCAAGCTGACTATTTTCCAGGAAGAAAGTTACCTTCCACCTTCTCCCAGAAGGGGCAGTTCACAACTTGGTATGTAAAACCTGAGGGAATTCAGCCCTTACCCCATGACAAGGAGGAATTACACAATTACACAACGTGCACAACTGTTTACGTCAGTTCCTCTGGTCTTTGTTAGGGTATATCCAACAGTTCCTATGTTTTGAGACAGCTGATCCCACTGTCGTGTGGGATGAGTTCTTACAAATTCTTCCTTCACACCCACGGGATGGTTATCATAAGCAAAAACCCAAACCAAAATCAAAATAGCAGGTGTTGACAAGAATGTTGAGAGATTGGAATACTTGGTTTCTGCTTGTAGGAATGTAAAATAGTGCAGCAGCTGTTAAAAACAGTATGGGAGTCTTCAAAACAGTATCATTATTATTTATGTGGTCTTGGGGATTGAATCCAGGGCCTTCAAGCTGAGCTCCATCCCCTTTTAATTTTGTATTTTGAAGTTGGAGACAAGAGCTCACTAAGTCACTAAAATTGTCCAACTGGGCTCAAACATGTGAACTTCCTTGCTCAGCTTCCCAGAGTGCTGGGATTACAGACTTGCACCACCACATCTGGCTAATCCTTAAAATAGTAAATAGGAAACTTCTATGTAATCTATTAAATTTACTTCTGGGTGTACATTTAAAGTAATTGAAACAGGGACTTGGACAATATCTGTACATCCACGTTAATAGCAGCATTAGTCAGAATAGCCAAAAGATGAGAACACCACAAATGTCCCCCGATGAATAAATAAACAAAATGGGACATATACATCCAATAGCATGTTGGTCAGCCTTAACAAAGAATGAAATCCCGTTGCATGAGTGAAAGTCTACAGCATGGATGAACTTTGAAGACGATATGCTAAGTGAAAGAAGCCAGACAATATAATATATTATATTGTCAAAGGACAAAGCCACGATAGTTTAAAGACCTTAATTGGCTTTATTTACGATTCTAGAATCAGGCTGCACTTCATTTCACAAAAGAGAATACATTTTTCATTTTTTGTACACCTGGTTTTGCACCCAAGGCCCTTACACTGTAAGTCCCCAACCCTTTTTATTTTTATTTTGAGACAGAGTCTCACTACGTTGCTAAATTGCTCAAGCTGAGCTCAAACTTGCAGTCCTCCTGCCTCAGTCTCCCAGAGTGCTGGGATAATAGGCATGGGCCACCACGACTAGCTAGAATGTGTTGTGGTGGGCTGCAGAAGAGGTTGGGCTTGTAGACACAGAAAGGCTGAAGGGAGCAGAAACAAAAGAGCAGAAAATGGTTTGCTCTCTGTTCAGTTACTTTCCTTGTCAGGTGGGACAGGGAGACAGAATAGTTGACAAATAACTGGTTATTGTGAGTTTATTTCAGGGTTAACTGTGTGTGTGTGTGTGTGTGTGTGTGTGTGTGTGTGTTTGTGTAATGTGTAAGATGAGGGTATCTCTTTATTGTGCCAGTTACACTGTCTGCTTGGGAACTTTGGCTGATAGCTTTCTACTCTTGATTTCTTGGAAGGTAAGACAAACAACTTAGTTTCAACTCGATGGCATGGGACTGTAGTGTGTGCGACTCCATTTTGAGTTTTAGCTTGGTTCGTTC